TGTCGAGTAGAAAGTTAGAAATCAATTCATGGGTGATAAATCTGAAACAAACACGTAACGGAATTTCTTTAAAAGAAAAACGTAAAAAAAATACTACTCGTTTGAGAATTTCTTTTAATTTAATAATTGCAAGTAGAACTGTTGCCGAGTTATTTAATTCACAGTGAAATGAATTAGAGCATTTTTAAATAAATTTACTAAATTATGAGATCATTTGTTGATCGTTTATTGTTGTTTATTTGTTTTTACGCTTACATTACAACTATTTGAGGAATATGAAAGAAAGTTTTGGACCTAATTAACATTTTATCTATTATATGAAATTATATACATTTAGCTTAATAATATTATATAACAAATTAAACATTAAACATTAAACATAAATTTTTATAGAGATTCTTAACATATATAATTAAATTATGTGTTCTTCTTCATACTATTAATTTCTGGAAATCAAAATTGTATTATATACTTCGCAAAAGAATTGTTCACTTGTAATAAATTTACAGTCATAACTGACAAATTTCTGCTATGATAGCTTTTCTGTCATAACTGACAGTTTTCAGCTTTGATGGATTTATTAACAGCAATGACTCGGGAAAAGGCAAGAGAGTGAGAGCAGTATAGATATATAGTGAATCAATTCCGAAGAAACATGTGTTAAAGAAAGATGCAAAATCCCGCGCATGCGTTTGTTTACATCAGTTTTTGCACAAGGCTCTTAAGAAAATGATAGCAACTTTGTTCTGCTTTGACTGTCAATTAGCCATTTGAAAAAAAATTTGAACAGCTGTAAGTAAGTTGTGTATAATACTTAATTGTTAATTTTTATAATGTTTATTAAATTAAACTATTTTTAAATGAGGAAACCAACAAATGAAGATCATTGTGATATAATGCTATATACTTTTACAAAGAGTTTATATAATATGTACATATATATGTATATGAAAAGTTTATAGTGAGAAACCAATTTGGTAAGTATGGTTATGTTAAAATTGCTGTAATAGAATATCTTACAAGGTGCGTTCCAAAGTAAACAGTAAAAATGTAATAAAGTAAACTCTAGTGGCGCCATCTATATGTCGACTAGTGCGTTAGAATCTGCTATCCTTTATCGACTTCCAGTAAAAATTTCATGACCTTTCATTTATTGGAAGTGAAGCTATTTTGTCATCGGTGCGAAAATGAGCTTCGAACAAAGAGCCAACATTAAATTTTGTTTTAAAATTGGTAAAACTTTTACCGAAACGTTTCAATTGATGAAAAAAGTTTATGGCGATGATTGCCTATCCCGTAGCAGAGTGCACGAGTGGTTTCAACGTTTTCAAAGTGGTTGTGAGGACATAAATGACGATGAACATGTGGGCAAAAAATCGCGCCTGGAGAAATCAAAAGTGAAGACAATGCGGATTTGTTTTTATGATTCCAAGGGTATTGTCCACAAAGAATTTGTTCCACCCGGACAAAACGTTAATGCGGTATTCTACCTTGGAGTTTTGAAGCGTTTGGTGCACCGTATTCAACGTGTTCGGCCCGAATATCGCGAAGATGGAAGTTGGCGTTTGTTGTACGATAATGCGCCGTCTCATTGATCGACGCTTGTGGCCGATTATTTGACCAAAAATCGCATTTTAACAATCAACCACACCTCGTATTCATCGTGCGACTTCTATCTTCTCGGAAAATGCATTTGCCGATGAAAGGAAAGCGTTATGCAGACGTGGCCATTCAAAAGGCTTGCACCGGCATACTGGCGGCCATACCGGGCAACGAGCTTAAACACTCGTTCGACATGCTTTTGGACCGTGCAAAAAGCTGTATTAAAGCAGAAGGAGACCATTTTGAATAAAATTAATTGATTTTGCCGATAAAAACATTTGTTCTGTATTTTTTTAAAAGTCCTATTTAATTTGGAACGCACCTTGTATATGGATATTATATACTAATATATTATGAATATCTTTATGTTTTTTGGATTGCAGTTGAATTTAACTAAATTTAAAATAAAATTGTGCGCAAATTGTTGTTTTTTTTTTGCGGGTGAGGGGGTGGAAAATGCCTTCCGCATCATCACTGCTGTCGTCGCAGCAGCGGTGTGTGCCGCTTGCAGGTCACTAAAAACCGCCCCTCTACGGAACCCACCCTGGAACCACGTTTGCATCACTTCATGATGGCGTTCCATTTTCCTCATTCAGAGATTTACATCTGCACACCTGCGTCCAGGTCCCGCTTTTTGCTGCGTAGCAAAGTTGCAGCCAATTTCTGGATGATCCCCCAGTTTTCTTCGCGCTCCAGCATGACGCTGATTCAATTTTCCGTGTTTATTGGACCAACCCGGTCTTCTACGGCGTTACGTTCCCGTTGCCATCGCGTACATTCAAAGAATGTGTGTTCAGCGTCGTCTTCTGTCGCGTCGTTGTATGGGCATGACGGCTCTTCTACTATTCTCATTCTGTGGGGATACTTTTTGAAGTATCCGTGCCCGGATAGCAGTTGTGTCGTGTAGAAGTCGACTTCCTCAAATTTCCGGCTTGTCCATAAGGTTACATCTTTTATGAGTCTGGCCGTCAATCTGTAAGGGCTGCGGTGCGGTGTACTTTGGCCAATACCTTACGCTGATTTTTCTTTTTTAGCACATCTGCTCAAATCTCTGCTCCGTATAATAGGACGATGATGGTCGTGGACATTAGGAGCTTTCTCTTTTCTTGGCAGGCCCCCCTCAATGTTGGCCAATGGTCTGCTGAGTTGGGAGGTTATTTTCGCTGGCTTTCCTGCGGCGTGCTGGATTTGTACCCAAAAAGTTAATTTGGGGTCCAGTCTGACGCCTAGGTAGTTTACCGCCTTTTGCGTCTTTAGAATATCCGTAGTCGTTTGCATACTTATTTCGAGAGGTACGTGCTTGTTTGTTAGCAGTAGTAGCTCTGTTTTCTCCGTAGTGAGCTGGATGTTATGTAAGTCAAGCCATGCTTGCGTCCGTATCATTACCTGGTTTAGCTTTCTGCGATGTCGTCCGCGTAGCCAATTAGATAATATTCGTCTGTCGAGTTTTAGTATGGCGTCGAAGCTGATGTTCCACAAGTCTGGGATTAAAATGGAACCTTGTGCTGTTATTGACGTAACCGCTATCTGTCGTGATCGCTCTCAAGTTTGGTACAACAATTTTCTCTTGCTAAGGTAGCTCCGCACCACCGCCCTGAGGTAGTCGGGGATTCTGAAGCTTCTTTCGAGAGCGTCGATTATATCCACCCATCTAGCGCTGTTGAAGGTGGTTCGAACATCTAAGGTCGCCAACAGAACTATTCATTTGTACTTATGACATCTGCGCTGTGCGGCTTCTACACTTTTGATGACGCATCTAATAAATCCTTAGGTTGACCTGCCGGGTCTAAATCCATTTTATCTAGGGGAGAGTCCTCCAGCTTCGTTGATGGCCGCTTCGAGTCTGGGTTTAAGTAGCCTTTCATAAAGCTTTCCCCGCTGTGTCGAGCATGCATAGTGGACGGTATGCTGATGGCAAGTTGGGATCTCCTTTTCCCTTACCGATTAGAACCAGCCACTGTTTGAAGTCTTATGGTCTGTTCTGGATCGGTAAGCCTTTTTTTTGTGTGTGGGAAATAGTGCGCTTACGATGTGGTCCATTTTGACAGCGGAGTGCGGCTCCTCTGCGCCTGGATCTCGTATACAACCTGCGAGTGCGACGACATGTGCGTCTAAGTTGGGCGATATTATCTGTCCACCAATAAACTGCCGCTTTGTGTTTGCCGTGGGAAGCTTTGGGTATTAATTTGTTACAGGCTCTTGTTATATTAAGCATTGTGTGTTCGACAATTTTCATTGCGGTTTTGGGAGAGCTGCTAGATGGGTTCTGCTCGTGTATTGCGGAGATTAATTTCGAATTGTTTAATTTCGAAACATTCCACTTTCGGCTCGAAGTATTTCTTCTCTGGCTTTTATCTTAGATGCCGTTGTAAATCGCGAAGGAGATGTACTGATGATCGCTGCCAGTGTATACTTCTAGTACTCTCCATTCCTTTAATTAGCCTGCCATACGTTCTGATCATAGGGTGATGTCTGGTGTAGTTTCCTCACACCTCGGTCTTCTAAACGTAGTCGCGTCTCCGCACAATTAGATCGAGACGCGCTGCAGTATCTAGTATGCGCTTACCTCTCGAGTCGGTATCGTATCGTACCCCACTCTATGGCTTTCGAGTTTAGGTCTCCGGCGACAATTAAATGGCCCGCCAAAGACCTAGTCGTGTCTTCAATGTCGTTGAGCTTTTTCTGGAATTCGTGTATGCTATCGCTTGGCGTCAGGAAGCAGCTTATTATTGTGAAAAGGTAGCAACTGGCCTAGACGAAACCGTTGCTGTTCCCTTTACCTGTGATGGTGATTTTACTTCTTGGGGGTAGCCATATAGTGGCGGTTGAGCTGCTATCTTCTAGCCAGGTTCCACTTACTTTTTTCCTGTTATGTTCGCTTATGACGATTAAATCATAGCCGTTCTCCATCACCATCTGGGAGAGTAGTGCGTTAGCAGCCTTTCACCTGTGCATTTTGGCCTGTAGGATATTCATTTATTCAGGTATTTCCTATATACTACGCATTCCGGTATATGGTCAACTAGTTCGTGTTTGGCTTCTGAACAGAGGCAGCATGATGAAGGCTTTGTGCACTCTCTCAGTTTGTAACCTGGTTGGCCGCATTTTATGCAGATGCCTTGCCCTCTTCTATCCGGTCCTTCCCAGTCCCAAGTTAAGTGTCCTGGTCTTTGCGTTTTCTTTGAGTCGCAGTCTACAGTAAACCCAGCCAAGTTTGATGCGTGCCCGTCGCATCAGCGCTTCTGTTTTCTCATTATGAAGCGTTATGTACGCCCTTACCTGCTCTCTTGTGTTAGGTGATGTCAAGTTTATCTTGATGTCTCCGTTAAAGTCCTGAATCGCCTCTTAGTCTTTGGTTTAAGGTCGGCCACCATTTCAGATTCTCGAAGGGTGGTTTTGAATGCCTCGCAGAATATGGCCTTTGTAGTTTGCCTCTTTTCCAGTTCTAGTAGTATCGCCCCGGCTCTTGTTTTGCGGATTTCTTTGACCTTAACACCTGATTCTTTAAGATTCAAGTTGCTCCGGATATTCTTTAGGACCTCGGCGTAGGTATTACCTTCTGTTGGCTTAATGATCACGGCCTCTGATTGCCGCTTGATCCTGTTATTTGTTTTCAGATTTGCAGCTGTGTTCTTCTATTGTGGTCTTACTTCTACCTGTTTAAGTGCTTCCGTAACATTTCCTCCATCGGCCTGGGGTTTTTTAATTTTTTTTAGGCAGAACTGTTTGCCTCTCGCCAGTCCTTTTCGTTTCGCGGTCGCACTATTTCGCGAAGTTCCACAGGGCTTGTCGCGCGTCGCTTAGAGGTTGTTGACTCTGGGGTCTGCTTAGATGCCCCCGTCTTGGTTCTTTTTCTGCGATACGCTAGTTTCTGCGATAACTATTGATTAAGTAAAAGAGTTCGTCGAGCTGTGACTTTTCATTCTTGACATCCATGCTAACATTCTTTTCGCCATCTTCATTTTTTGTACGATACCCTTGCACCTCTCTAGAGACTCCTCTTCTGCCCGTCTCATTTGGGTAATGTACTATTCCTTCGGTGAATTTTGAATGGCACGAGGTTCTGCTGTGATGACAGTTGGAGTGCTCCCCGCTGCTGTTTGCTTTGCGGTTCCTGCTTGTGGAGACGCAATTTCCCTGTCCGTCTTTCTCTCTGTCTTTCCTTCTTTGTCCGGTTGTTTTGGTGTAACGATTAGTGTAGGGGACCTAAGTATCCTGCGACTCCTGCGGAAAGCTGTGCCGCATTCCTCGTCTTGGTTGTCTATGTTTCGCTGTGTTTTTCCGTATTGTTCTTTTTCTTGTGGTTTTTGTTGGCTTTATTGTGTTGGTGTATTAATTTTATGCTATTGGGTCTCCGCTTCAAGCCGCTATCTCCACACGTTGTAACAGCTGCCCTGTGTGAACACCGTGGTTATTATGCAAGCAGGGCGGCCACGCAAGGGTTGACACAAGTCCTTATGGGAGCTTGTGTTCAGAGCCGGGTTCGGGTACGAATCAGGATTTCGTCTTAACTGAACCTATACGGCCAATATAATGGCGACGTGCATAGAACGTACTTGAAGACCTGCCAGGGTTTTAACGAGACGGAGGTGATTACAGCATTAGCCTGTCAGCCATTTCGGTGAGATTTCACTCTAACCTACTGAGGTGACAGAATGCTGCTCTCACCAGCCCCTTGTCTACCTAATCCGTTCCGTGTTTCCAGTATACCATAATCAGAATCTTACTGGCCTCGATTCTGATGGGCGCTTGCCCGTAGTTTCTGTGACGTCTATGTACATTGAGTGCTGATCGCTGGATTGGTCCTTTGTTGCTTTTTTGCCTGCTTCTCATAGGTAGGTTTTCCTTCGATGCAACCCAGGTGGGGATTGTGGACAGGCGGCATCTATTCGCCTCCTCGCCGGAGGTTCATTGGGCGCATGAGGCTTTTTGAACCAAGCCCTCCTCTCCTGCAGCTCTTGGTCGGGGGCTGCGTATTATTATTCGCTGCTGACCTTAGTGTGGGACGAGCTGTGAACCCGGTAGTAGCCTGAGCACAGCCCTACCCCTGTGCAAAGTGTGTTTAACACAGTAAATTAGCATTCATTAGTTTGCATAAAAATTAAAAACTATAAGTTTTATTTAATTTATTACTATAATTATTATTAAATTTATTTGTTGAAGTTTTACTTTAAGCGCTTTCATTATTGATTGCGAATTTATTATTTTCTTTTTTTTTTATCTTTTTAGTCCCAACAATTGTGATAACCAAAGAAATAGCGATTACTTCCCCATCAGTTTGAAAGTTCAAAAGGATGGCATTATCTTAGTTTGAATCAAGAATAATGTGGGCCTGAAGACTAGTACAGGAACAAATTAATAAAATCAAACAATATTAATATAACTCTTTCACAGGTTTAGCTCGTGTTGTCACCAGAATCTCGAAGGCTTTCACCAATGATGTGATCAAAGAGTTGAGCGAGAGCGGCAATGCGTTGTCCGAACTGGAAATGAGTAAGATATTTCCCAATGATGGTTCCAAGGTAGGTTGGATTATTTTCTGCTTTAAGGTTGGTTACCCCAATAACTTACATTTTCTGGCCTCCTCTAGGTTGTATAACCTTGCAGGGATGTGTCATCGTGGTAGGCAACGATCATCTTTCGAAACAGACCAATGAGAACGCCGCACTACTGTTTCAGTGTTTGGTTGGCTATTTTATTATTTCACATCATAAGCGTGTGTCCAGGTAAGCATTGCCGTGTAAATTCTTAAATTAACTACTTATTTATTTAATTTTTGTATTTTTGTTATTGTTTTTTAGGTGACACTAAACCTTTTCATTTTGCTGGTGTGCCGTCAAATAACATACAATTGGGTGTGCGGCGTCTAAAGGAAATCATTAATATCTCCAACAAACCAAGAATCTCTAACATTATTCATTACTGATGGTGCAGCGCGGGACGCCAAAAAGATGTATTAACGAGTCGTTTAATATCTGCAATATATCAAGCTCTTAACCATCGTTAGAATTCTAAACCTGGATCCAATCCAAGTTCCTTAAAAGTTCTTCTTTGCATTTCTACGGGTAAAACAGCATTCGAAATAGGTGGAATGATCCTCAGTTAAAGGAATTGGTATAAGTGAAAGTGAGAATATTTTGGAAAAAGTTTAACTTTTCAAAACTTCTGGAACGCCGAGACTGCCCTATGAATTGACACTAAAAACCTCCACCAAATATATGATTACAGTGAATATAAACACGTGTGATGGCTTGGTTAATGAGGCAGCTGGTCAACTTATGTAAATTGATTTCCATTGGTAGCAACACTTCAAGCTCTTAAGCTGTAATTTTTAGCTGTGTACATTTGTTTTTATTTTAAAAATTCTTGAAGTTTAATAGATTTTATTACCGTGGTAATACAATTTTTAGTGATTAAACTCTCAGTTTCATGATAAGTATTAAATGTTCTGTTTCGTGCGGTATTAAAAAGTATTAAAAAGTTTAAACTTTCCAATTTTTGGTGCCGAGTCAGCCTTTTGTTTCATTTTGTTTTATTCTTTTGATTTATTCTATTTTCTCACTTTGTTTATCTTATTTACTTCTTTATTCACAACTGTGTTGCGTTTAGCTTTTTATTTGTACAGTGCTTCTAAAACTGCTCGCTATATTGCTTCTTCAAATGTCTTCGTTTAAACTTTGATAAAAAAATTGTTCTTAATTGAATTTATTATTATTAATATTTTATTACACACTAATTTATTATTTAACTATTAAATTTTGTTCTACCTACTCTTTTATTTGATCTTCATTCTTGTGGTTTATTATGTCTGTAACTTCCCCAATTGTAACATTAAAGGCGAGTCAGATCGCTACGTTTCATGCTGGCTTTGTGATGGGCTTGCCCATATTAAATGTGCTGGATTGACTGGTAGAATCTAGATTCTATTATCGACTGTAAGGGATTGCGTTGGTCCTGTTTAAATTGTAGATCTATTGAAATCGATCTATTTAAAGTTTATAGAGAGACACGCAATGGCTTTAACGAAATCGTGGTCGTGATCTTGTAACCCTCACTGAAAATTTAGGCACTATGAAAATTGTTCAAATCTTTTAAGTGCCTGAATGATTCTCACGAATCCTCTAAACCTGCTCCTAAGCGTAAACGTCCTTCCGATGAAGTAACACTTAGTTCTTCTGTTCAGAAAAGAACGTCTCTCCCAATGACCTAATAAATTCTCTTCTCCTTGCCCTCAAGGTGATAAGCCGTCAACTTCAAAGAGCTCAATTCCCCAAAAGTTCTATCTAATAGTAATAAGTGTCTCACAATTCCAGAGCTCCACCTATTAACTTAGTAGCATCAGTTAATAATTTGATAGTTATTCCACCTATAAAGTCTATATTTATTTCGAGACTTGCCAAAGATACCTTGGTGGAGGACATTAAATCTTACATTTCGTCACGTTTAAAAATCGATGATATCAATATACGTAAATTTAACTTCAATTATGATAGAAGTATATCATCGTTTAAAATAGACGTATCTCTTGAAACATTCAAAAGATCTAAGATAGTTCATTCTGGCACCTGGGACTTTTGTACGCGAATTTAAACCTAAACTTAGAAGTCAAACTGAGGAAAACATTGTTAAATTACCAAAAGCAACCACCGATATAAAAAACTGATTGGTAGAAATTCGCTAAGCATTCCTTATCAAAATGTTAGAGGTCTTAATACAAAATTAACTGACTTGTATTTGAACAGTTCCAATTTTAATTTCCATATTTGGATTTACAGAAACTTGGTTAAAACCTCACATTTTGATAATGAATTTCAAATTTTAGATGTGATCGACTGAACAGAATCGGTGGAGGTGTTCTATTTGCCGTGCATTCCTCTATCCCATCTGAAAATATTCTTGTTCCAGGGACCGACTCATTTGAATTTAAATGCATTAGAGTATACGTTAATAGTTGCCTCATTTTTTAACCCTATCTTATATACCACCCATTCGGACTTATCTGTATACATGCAGCATGCTTCTTTAATAAATAGTGCTACCTCGATGGCAAATAATGCAGATTCAATAATTGTATTAGGTGATTTCAATTACCGTGTGCTTCGTGGAAAATTTCGATGACTATATCGTGCCGATTTGCAATCGGTCATTTTTTAATGAGTTTTCGAAAAATGTCCGAGTTGGTCTGAACCAAATAATTTGATTCCAAATAAATTTGGCAAATGCTTAGATTTAGTATACGTTGACCTCTGCAAAGTGTTCCGTTATTCAGAGTAATCCTCTTGTTCTACCAGAGGACTCATATATCCTGCTTTGAAATATCTGTCGAAGTCTCAGGCATTGTACGGGATAATAATCATCAAACTTCGTGCTTCTGTACTCGGTTTAACTTTGCAAAAGCTAATTTAAAAAATTAAATACAGAACTTCCTACAATAACATGGCCTAATTAATAATGGTGACATTGAATTGAGTGTCTCTATTTTAATAACATTATTATGAAATTATTTGAAAAGTATGTTCCAATAGTAATTGTTAATAAAAGCAAAAGTATAAGTCCGTGTTTTCGAAAGAGTTATATAAATTGAAAAACAGAAAACTCGAGCCTTTAAACATTTTAAAAAACCGGTTCACTTGTCGACTATTTAAATATTCTCTATTGCGTCGATAATATTTTGACCTAAACAAAAATGTTATAATAATTACTTAAATAAAGTAAAAATAAATATTGTAAGTAATCCAAAATCGTTTTATGATTGTCAACCTCCAAACGCAGGATTTCCAAATTTCCGTCCGCAATGAAATACAAATCTATCATTTCAAGTGACAATGATATTATATCCAATATGTTTGCAAATTTTCAAGTCAAACTACTGTAATAATCTTCCAAAACTTTTCTTATCAGCAAAGTGATGTATTCGAATACTTTAATTAACGCTCCAGTTATTTCTGAAGAAGACGAACTTTTAATTTAAATAAGTTAAAACCATCTTTTAGTTATGGCCCAGACATGATACCCTCATGCTTCCTAAAAAATAGTGCCAAATATATTTACTTGCCTTTGACAAGGATATTTAATTCCTCTCTAAACACGGTATATTTCCTTCAATATGGAAACAGTCATTTATAATCCTTTGCATAAAAGTGGATTTAGATCCAACATTGAAAACTATAGAGGTAGCAAAACTATCAGTTATACCTAAACTTTTTGAAGCTATCATCACTGACCATATACCTTTTCGATTTCTCCGTTAATTTCCTCATCTCAGCATGGATTTCGTAAAGGGAACTCGACTATAACAAACTTACTTGAATTTGTAAACCATGTATCATTGGGTTTAGGAACATAAGCATACGGATGTTATATACCAGACTTTAGCAAAGCTTTCGATAAAGTAATATCTCGATTCTCACACATAAACTTGATTCTGGGCTTTCAGCCAAGATTCCTTTAATGGGTATCTTCCTATCTTTATAATAGACACAACGAGTGATATTTGAGGATACACCTTCAGATACAATTAATGTTTTCTCTGGTGTTCCGCAAGGTATCATCTTGGCCCGATTCTGTTCTTGTTGTTTATTAACGATATCTCTCAGTAATAGAATTCTCAAAATTATTATACCTGACGATGTAAGCTTTTAAATCATACACTTCAACTGAGGAAGGTGTCTTTGCAAACAGACTTAAACAATTTGGTTGCATGGTGTGATAGAAATGATTTGCCATTGAATCTCATAAATGTAAGACGATGTGCTTTTCCGTAGATCTGTGCACCCTCTTCTTATGTAATAAAACACCATATTCTAGAGCAAGTTTTAAACTATGTTGATTTGGGAGTTAATTGGACCCTAAGCTTAATTTCAGTCTTCATATTGATACCATGGTCTTGAAAGCAAAAGCTGTCCTCAGTTTTGTTAACGTTGGTCAAAAGAATTTAGAGATCCGTATATTACTAAAAACTTTATTACAACTTTGGTTAGACCTATATTTGAAATGGCTCTGTGGTATGGAACCCTAGCTACCAAATCTATTCTGACAAGTTAGAGTCGGTTCAAAAACAATTTTACTTTCGCCTTAGCGCATTCCGATGGGATGCTAGGGTAGTCTACCTCATACACTAGTCGTTTAAAACTTATTAATCTATCCACACTTTCTAGTTGTAGGGAAATGCTTGGCATAACATTCTTAGTGAAACTTTGAATGGAACTGTTTGCAGTTCTTTCTCTTGTCTGAAATTAAATTAATATCCCGGTTCGCCTTCGAGGCAGTTTAGACCTTACTGCTAAAAATCCTGTAGATCAAATTTGAACTAAACGAGCCATTCCGCCGTATATGTCATGATTTTAATTTCATTCCAGCACATTTGACTTATCTGACTCACTTTTCAAAATTAAAAAGACTTTATTGTTTTCTTAATAAATGAAAATGTAACAATTTATTAATCGTAATTTAGATCTTAGCTGTTGAAATTTTTGTTTCTGTAGCTGAGCAGTTTTAGATCTCAACACTTAAAAAACTCTCTTGCCTTTTCTGACTCGGCTAATTCCGCACGTATGCGGATTGCGCCCCTCGCGTCGGTTGGGCGGGAGGAGGGTAATCGTTGGGTTATTAAATTAAATTAAATTGTTCTTTTCGAACAATTCTGTCTATTAAATTTTCGGAACCTTCTGTTGGTTTAATTGCACGATCAAAAAGCCTCACCCTCTAGAAAGTTATTGGACACCAATTGAAAAAGTTCTAAAATCTTTTCAATATAAAAGAAATGAACGAATTTCAATTGAAAGTTATCACTTTTCAGTTGTTTTGGCTGAGGGAATAACTGTACATAAAGGTTAGGGTTACATTTAATAAAGTTGTTGTTCATTTTCCACCCAGAAGGCCTAGCGTTTCAACAGCTTGTCGTCGAGCTACTACTGCAGAAGGTTTAATCATGATAGGATTTTTTTTCCTTCTAACAAATTTTCTGAATCGGATCCTGTATTTAGGGAACTGAGGGAATTAAACACAAAAATTGCTCTGAATACAAGTTTCTATTTAATGATTTCCCCAACATCTGGACATCAAATTTTATTCCATAATGTTCAGAGTCTTCACGCTCACAATAATGATATAAAAGTCGGCTGTTTGATGCTATCTTCAGATATTTTATGTTTTGTAGAAACTTGGAGTTATCCATGAGAAAATTTGACGAGCTGAGGATA